TGAGGTTTAAACCAGTCATGGGACCTTTTACCACTTTCCACAGGTATAACCAGACGGGGGACAAACTCATCAGCAATGAAAAAATGCAAGGCCTAACTGAATTCCGAACAAATGAGCTAGTTGGTCATTGTTGGTGGATCTAATTCTAGGTCCACCACAGAACAGTTCACTACCAAATGGAGTGTTTCAAATTTTTCAGTCAATCATAACTATTTTTACATTAAAGGTTGACTAACTAGTGATGTGTATCGCAAGGGGTGTAACGATACGATGCATACCGTGATATTTGCGGAATTTTTATTGAACAAACCTGTCACAATTGTTTTCCTTGATTTGATACAAACCTTGATATAAAAAAAACTAAACTGTAGATTTGGAAATAGAACAAGAAGAAATGCATGTCATCTTGACTAACACTAAAATGATACTTTTACTGCTGCGAAGAAGTGAGGTCGGTATTTTTTAAATCTACCATTTTTTCGGCGGAGGGGGGGGGGGGGGNTAAAAACACCCTACATGTACATATCAGGATAGGTCAGACATACCAACTTTAACAAATACTCGGGTCCCTGTGCCCACACTAAGTGAATTACTTTTAGATTGCTTGAATACCCGAACAAACACTAAATTATTGGGTTTTATTTATTTAAGCATGTAGCTCGCTTTTTTTATCAGATGGAACGATATCCCCCTGTCGACGTAGCGTTGTGTGGCTCCAAAGCACGAGTGCGATACTCTGTGCCGAAATGGACAAAAGTGTGGACTGCTCATTTCTGCCTATCAGAGATAGATTGGGGTCTTTTTATTGGTTTTGGTGATTCATCGATGGATCTTAGCTTTGAGTGTCACTTCTAAGATCATGATACATGTATGTTAATACGTATCATTAGAAAAAGTCAACACCAGGTTGACACTTCTGTCTAGACAATTCATGAAATTACGACCGTCCCCTATCTTCTGTTAGACTGCCCGTCGACATCTGTAACATTGATTTCCTCGTCAGACCTTTGGAATATAAAACTTGACCAGACACAATTCCAGATGATGTCATACTGACCTCTACCCACCGGGGACACTATGACGATAAAACAATCAAACTGGCAGCAGTAATTTCATTAGGCACAATCGACTTTCATGTCTATTACTTCGAATAGGGATCCATGTTTGTTAACTTAAATCCATGTTCACATGTAAAAGAAATTGATGGTTTATACCCTGATCAGTTTTTGTTTATAAGTATACCTGGTGTATGAAAATACATTTAATGCAAATCATTTCAAATAAAAGTCGCGTCAAACAGTTGACACACAAAGTCATTGTCCGAAATTAAGCTGTGCATTACAAAACAGTATAGGAATGCGACTGTAACTTAACCGCAATAACATAGAAACAAAGGGCAGATGTGTCAGCCTTTTAATATCGTTAATGTAGCCTGCTATTTAAATAAAAGCTAAAGATGACCACGCTAAACGTGACCATTGTACAGTGCACGGTCAAACCAAGGAAGAAGAATACATCAATATAGCCATGTTTACCCCCAACGCAGCCAAGATGATTTGATTGACAGACAAACATAGATTGCAATTTAGTTTCTGTCACTGACACAGCTGTCCATTTAGACAAAATTACGGACACGCGACTCCGGACATTGAGTGAGTGACCAACGCCACGCACTTCACGGAAAGGTCAGGGATAGCATCCCTGGTGAATTTGTGCATCACTTCAACACAAGTCTCACTAATGGACCTTTAACACCAAGACCATGGCATACCGAAATGACTGTCAAACGTTTCGTGATATATATGTGATAATTCACCGTCTAGGAAAACCTGCTCGAAGCAAGTCTACGGCTGATATATAAACTATCCTGAAAAATACTGAGTTTTCCACATATCGTTTCCGCAAATATGTAATTTTAGCGTGATGTACGTATTTTCAAAACTACATTGTGCGACATTGCCTAACATCCGGTAGATAGATCAGTCTTATTTTGCATTGATTATGCAACGAAGTGGAGAAAAATAAGCGCTATACAAATTACATCATAGTTTGTCATGCGATTCAAGAGTTTAGTCGACTTTGGCACGCAGGAATCGGAAACCGAAAGGGGGCGCTGATTAATGTTATCAGTTTTTGGTCCGCTGTGACATAATCAAAATAACATACCTATTCTAAGATCAATACATAGTTATCACACGCCAGTCGTCTGTCATATCTCGAGAAAGAGAAAGAAAGGGCACACGTATTGGGTTTGGCGCGCAGACACGCAATCAATTTGTATGAAAGTATATCACACCTGATGGTCTCCTTTATTGAATTACATGTCCACTTGTTTCTGGGGAAATATCCAAAGCCATACAAAAGCAGCTGCTGAGCATTGTAGAACTTGCACGCCACGAACGAATACTGAGATCCACAGTATTCTAGGTCAATAGGATAAAAGAACATCTATAGACATATTCAGAACAAAATCAAACACGACAGATATTGACAGGCCAAACTATTAAGACATACCAAGAGACGATTGAGACCAGGCCAGCAGACCAGATAAGGTCAGCGAAACGGGAACAAAACTAAAATTGACTAGAAAAAATACATTTTAGTCACAACACGATGGAAATACCCAAAGTCTTTGTATTTCATTCTCATAGATTAGAAGTCATACCACACAAGACTAGGGGCCAGAAAAAGAGACCAGACAAAAACGATATGCAATGTTTTAGCACAAACCACGAAAAAGTGACTTACGGACTAGGTCCTTCGGATACGCGCGAGTGCAAAAAGCGATCAATGTCGAACCAAAATGATAATATCTTGAAGTAGTATTTAACGTCATAATAATTCCTATAAAAGTCACGATATCGTAATATACATGTAAAAATGTCGACAGTGTGTCACATCTCAGCAAAGGATTATATGTAAGTTTGTCGACTTAACATTAACCAGAAACGTGACGAACACCCATCAAACACGTGCTTCGCCATGTTTGACATTAAGATCAACAGGGCGCGCGGACAGGAATGTCATGTTTGCCGAAACATTACACAGTTTATCGTCGAATATATTCAACAACCATCAAATCATTCCTCGGTAAAGCATGCGTGGGCATATGTGTTGATAGAACACGGGGACGCCATCTTAAATCTGTAAACACTCATTCTCGTTAGATATGCTCTCCTTGTCCAAAGCTTATTGCTAAAAGTCAGGAATATGACTGGTGAATCCAGCACTTTGGTAGAATAACAATAGATGTATTATAACAGTTAACACATTCACTTAAATTAATCTGATTTTAAGACATAATGAAATAAAATACCAATGATAAAGGCACTTCAAAAGGGTGTCAATAGCGCATTTTACATCTACATCATATTAAAGTAAACAAAAACAGTTCTGAAAAAGTCAATTAAAATCTTTTAAAACAACGTTTTGTTTTTTGTTTTTTACATTCCTTTCTTCATGAGTTTAGAACTTGGTAGCACATCATGCTCTGCTTTTTATTGGGAATGCGTGATTGGGTGTCGGCATTACGCGCCCCCTATCGTACGGTGTAGGGCCATGTGGTAGACATCATACAAACCTGGTGTGAAGGGTCTCTGTGTGCTTAATACCTATCCACCTAAAGTTATGATAAATGTCGATAACACACCAACAATGATATGTATATATACGCGTGTATGTTTTTCTAAATTTTGCGCACGAACGAAAATCATGGACAGTATATGAATTATATGGTTTTGGATGTAAACAAAATCCGGATGCGTTCCATTTTGATAAAATATATGTTTAGTTCAGTATGCTGTTCTTCCGATTTTAGAAAGAAAAAAAATAATGAAATGTTGTGAGGTTTTCGTAATACTATCGGGTCGAGATCAGCGTGTTTTTTTTTAAATAGGACTTTTTAAACTTCATGAAACACAGTAATGTATGATTTGTGAGATCGTCATTCATCTTAAATAAGAAAATACATTAAGTGTATGATAAAGTCATTTTTAACAGCCTACAAATGACGTTTTTACTGTTTTATAGTCATAAAGCCTTTATTCCCAGATATGATGTCTGTTTTTACAGTTTTGAGGTCCGACATGTTGTTAGGGATTCGGAAGGCATGTCACGGTTAGCGCCATTGATGACCAATAAACCACATTCACAGTTACACCTCATTTCCACTCAGATCTAAACGTTACCCTTGTCGGCCATCAGGTGTACAGATCCTGTTTCCAAACACGAACTATTGTGTAACATAAGGAACGCCGATTTTAAATGGCTACAAGAGAAAATGAATATCACAGCATTGGGACCCTAACACCACAACCCATTCTTCACATCGAGGAAGCCATATTTTGCAACCTTGTAAAATGATTCCTTAAAGTAAGTGTATTTCTCTAGCGAAGGTCAATTTGAACCCCAAGATTTACATAGAAACAAATATATTTAAACTTCACGGTAATAGATTATGACGCTACCAAATGTCGCTACTACTGGTTTGTTGGAATACCAAAGTGTTGTTTAAACCAGTTTAGTTCTGCAAAAATAAGAAAAACATCGTCGCATCGGATGAACGACATTCCAGAACAAACACGTGCATATATGTTTTATACATCATTGTTTTCCCTTCACGGAACGTCTGTTGTTACACGGTAAATCACGTGTACTGTGCGTCCCTAGAGAACGGTACGTAGCATGTTGCCCATTCTTGAAAGATGGATTCTCCTTTTTATTATATTTATTCATTTTTATTTATTAATTTATTTATTTATTTTTATTAAGCTATTTTGTTTATATATTCATTTATCGAAACCCCTTCTTGAATAACGTAAAAGGTGTCTTTACCCAGGTATGATATCCATTTCCTCCAAAAACATGGAAGTGCCTTGTACCTGCTAGTTTTCCGTATCGTCTTATACGGAAGTAGCCAAATTCTCGAGTTGCTACCCACGGGACACACTGGAGCCGTGATAACACACCTGCTACATCCAATCCCCACCCTTAAGACTTACCAGGTCCACGACATCAGTGATGGCCAGGCCCACGGCCACAATGATCATCTTGGATGTGACATTGACTGGACGGATGCGCTTGTCGTATCTGTCGAGGAGGTGGGAGATCAGGCGCTCCTCTTCACTTACAAACGTATAGTTCGGCATCACGATACCTGGAGAAAATGACAAAGATCAGTATCAATATACCTCACCATGACAAGTTCGGCATGACTCTATTACAAGGGCAAAGTTCGTTTTGAAATTTTCATTATGACAAAGTTCGGTATAATTACATCATAATAATAATAATAATAATAATTCGAGGTTCGTGTATACCGCTTTAGCACAACTTAGTTTTACGGTCGTCTCAAAGCGGTTCACAAATTATTATCCGTGGTTAGAGGGCCTTTGCAACCAGCCAATATCTTTCTCAACTCCCTGGGGAGCATACAGCCGGAGCTGCCATTTCGGCGCTCACGGCTAGCATCTAACAATTCTAGCTCTGCCCATCAACGTACTCATTTACAGCTGAGTAGACTAGAACAAGCGGAGTAAAGTTTCTTGCTTAAAGATACAACACAGTGCCGTGCCGTGAGCCGAACCCGCAACCCTTCGGTCACAAACGCGGCATCCTACCACTAGACTACCGTGCCTCCTAACACCATGACAACGTTTGACATCACCTTATCTCTATGACAAAGTTCAGTATCAATACCTCAGCATGACAAGTTCGGCATAACTTGATCACAAAGACAAAGTTCGGCATAACTTCATCACCATGAAAATGTTTGGCATCACTATGTCACCATGACAAAGTTCGGCATCACTATATCAACATGGCAAAGTTCGGCATCACTATATCAACATGGCAAAGTTCGGCATAACTAAATCACCATGACAAAGTTCGGCATAACTTAATCACCATGACAAAGTTCGGCATCACTACATCACCATGGCAAAGTTCGGCATCACTATATCACCACGACAAAGTTCGGTATCACTTTATCTCTTTGACAAAGTTAAATGTGACAGAACAACAGGAGACGGATATGTTACATTTGACATAGTGAGCTGTTGTATGTGTATGGACCACGGTATACCTATATATAGGATAGTACTTGGACACCTACATAAAACGAGTGTCAGGTTGATAAAATTACAATATTTGTTATAAGTTTGGAAACGTTGTTAATTATTGAGTTTCGGTATAATAAAATAAATAAACTACATTCATTAGAGTGTGACAGTACGCAGAGTCACCCCGAGGGGAATCGCTGTCTTCCGGGGCGAGCCGAGAGCGACAGTGATATTCGAGTTGTGACCCTAGACATTTATACAATGTTTGATAATGTCCGGTTATCTTCGGGAGAGATATTTGACTTCGAGTTTGACTACCTTGCAAAGTAATGCGCAAATAATCATTTACTTATATATCAACGGTTTTTCAAGATACGAGTCGTTTAGTTTTGTAATACGTCGCCCTCTTACATTCCAGCATCTGTACCTGCCATTTCTATAAAATTCCCGTATAACTGTCTTTTCATTCAACTAAAAACGGGAATATTCAGTCATGAGGGGCTATGGGTCGGCATGCCTTTATAGACCCCATGGTAAGTGATAAGAATATTACATCCACCTTTATACACATGTACATTGAAGTCTGTTTGCTTGGTTTATACAGGGTCTGGTTTAACGGAGACAGTCATATTGAGTGTACACATTTTTATTGATATTTATTTTGATTATTATACTTTGAAATGAAGCACCAAGTTAAAGGCCAGAATGACCTACAAAGGTCAGTCGCATCAAATGGTGTCTGGATGTAGTTCGATCAAATAACCGCAATGTTTTCTCGAAAGCAAAACACGAAACATGATGAATGCTAGGAATACCCCTGTAAGTTCACCGCCATAGACGTGAGGATCCCATCGTTATGTCAAAGTCACGTGTGTAAGATATTTAGGATGCTCAGTCCGGAATGGATACGCTTAATCTCTAAGGAAAACAATCGCTCACACGTTTGACCTTGGACCGAGATGTTGCAGCTTCGCAATAGCTGACAGACGCAGTAGGGGTTTCAGCCGAAGTCCCCTTTCAACCTTCCTTGACGGTAAGGCGTAAGGTGGGCACAGGAGACGGTAAAATGTGTTTTTACCATAATAGAATTGTGTTATTTTACCATAAACCCAAATACCTATCAAGTAAACAAAAGCGGCTGAGACCGACGCAAAAATAAACCATTAGTTGTTAGAGGGTGTTGATAATTTGTTTCCTGATTTAAATCTTTGCGAAAAGATAGATAGGAGAAATGGTACAATTCTGCACGAAATTTTGCAAGTTATAGTGGTATGGTACATTTGTGATGCCTTGTATTGCTTAACTTTATCGGTGCATTCGCTGAATAAAATGTATCGAAATAGCTATGTACACTAGACACTGAATCTGATAACGACTACACTTGTCAAATGTTCTTAGTACCCACTTTTAAGACTTTGAATGAATTAAAGAAATTTATATTACAAATAAAAACATATCTTTATAATACCGTATATCTTCACGAGTGGGAAATTTGACATCAGTGACCAAAACGAAAAGGACGAAATGGTTAATCTCTTCATGCGCTGAAATTGCATAGGAAAATATATTTAAGTGTTTCATAACGAATGGGAAACTTAATACGAAACCCCCAAAATAAAATCAATAACAATGGCGGGGAAATATTGCGCGGATAACGATGGAGGTGAATATAAAGTATATTTACAGAAGGAATTATCCGAGCAGGAATGTCAATATGAATGTATTGATTATATTATTGATAAGTTGTTGTTAACAAATAATTTCGGGGAATTGCTAAAAACAATCTCCCACGACCACTATATGTTTCCTCATTCCCACGACCACTATAGGTTTCCTCACTCCCACGACCACTATAGGGTTCCGCACTCCCACGACCACTATAGGTTTCCTCACTCCCACGACCACTATAGGTTTCCTCACTCCCTCAACAACTATAGGTTTCCTCACTCCCACGACCACTATAGGTTTCTTCACTCCCACGACCACTATAGGTTTCCTCACACCCACGACCACTATAGGGTTCCTCACTCCCACAACCACTATAGGTTTCCTCACTCCCACGACCACTATAGGTTTCCTCACCCCCACGACCACTATAGGCTTCCTCACTCCCACGACCACTATAGGTTTCCTCACTCCCACGACCACTATAGGTTTCTTCACTCCCACGACTACTATAGGTTTCCTCGATCCCACGACCACTATAGGTTTCCTCACTCCCACGACCACTATAGGCTTCCTCACTCCCACGACCACTATAGGTTTCTTCACTCCCGCGACCACAATAGGTTTCCTCACTCCCACGACCACTATAGGTTTCCTCACTCCCACGACCACTATACGTTTCCGTACTCCCACGACCACTATAGGGTTCCGCACTCCCACGACCACTATAGGTTTCCTCAATCCCACAACCACTATATGTTTCCGTACTCCCACGACCACTATAGGTTTCTTCACACTGCTGGGAGTTGGTAAACATTAGTGGGTAACACCCTGGACGTGATTTCATTGATCAATCTTCTAAATATGACTTCAGGTAATAAGGCCTTGCGACGTCATTTTCCATTGTGACGTTGTAGTTCATATACATTTTCAGATTGTAAAAGACACTCGGTAAAATTCGTGTCTTTATACGTTTTGAAATTAGCTAACTCTAGTTAGATAAACGTGATAACCAATCAACTTTCGTTGGGGAACATTTATATATATATATATATATATATATATATATATTTGCATCTAATTTGAGAAATAAAAACATTTCCCCTGTAACGATTTAAACGTCAGACATAACAATATTATCTTACTACAGTATAAATACTTAAAGAGCCTTCACGTGATAGTAAAGTGGTCAATTACACAAGGTATGTCTCTTTCGTCATTGGGAGTAGGTCGAAGTTCACCTTGAAAACACCATATTGATAGCATGTTACAGGGTGAGTTCGTTTTAACTTACAAAGTTAGCGAAAACTTCAGCATTACCTGTTATCATCAACACCCGACTACGTTTCTCGGTTTGTGAGATTGGAATATTTTTTTTATTTTTTTTACATATCTTGCATACGTGACTTGAACACACAATAAATTGATTGCTCTATCGAAATTAAAGAAAATAATGATAATATATGTTTTCTTCGGGGATAAGTATGGGGCATTAACAACAGTTATTTGCAAGGCAAGTTACGTTCGGACTTTATATTTTAGCGGACCTGTTCTAGATAGGTCAGTCTGGGTTTTTCCCGTTTATTCGGGTCGACTCTTGGATTAGAGAGAAGTGAAGTAAGAAAATCAGTTGTATTTTCATTCCTATTGCTATATATCGAGAGATATAAGTGTATACTAGCAGCAGATCTTACAGATCAAAAAAATCTCAATCCATTAAATATGAATTGCGTGTTTCTAACACCACGTTATCATGCTCTTATCATATCAAACATGTTGAAGATTTAAACTGCTTCCAGTTGGCATTTATAACCAATAGCAACGCCAAATGAAATCAGTGCGGAGCTTAGCACTGAGACTTCCGGAACGATATGAAACATGAAATTAGAAGAAAACTCTCGTAAAATTCCACCGGTAATATGTTTATAAGACATCGTTAAAACACCATTTCTAAACTTGAAATCTACAAATTGAAATAGATTTAAAATAAATTATTTTGATAAGTATAGCCTTTAGAAAAGTGAAGTCAATTCACAACACACTACTTAAAAGAACATCAAAATGTCAAAATGAAGAATTTAGACTGTGCATCCTGGAAGTTTCGAAATATTTCGCAACCGTGTATATAATATAACATATCCAAATGTTTTTAAAAACGTTTCGTTTAGCGTGATATCGTGATAGTACAAATTGCTTTAAGATCAAACATTCAGAGGCTACCAGCTGGCTTCCTCAAGTGCCCCCACACACTGAACTACAGACGAGGTTTTTCATTTTATATGTCTGCACTGTTGATCTCGTTGAAGCCCTTGACGGGATACATGGCTCCTTGAGAACTCCCTATGACCCCTACTCAAGGAAGGTACCTAAGGGACTTGTGTGGGCCCTAATTATCAACAAGTGGGTATTGTAATTGCATCAACGAGTCATC